GTTACAAAACAGAGATCTCGGACACGAGACTGCGCAACATGGAAATAGGGGGAGACGAAAAGGAAGGAAAAAAGCGCGGGTGGGGAGACAACACGACAAACCGCCAAGTCTAATGCCAATTAGTGCCATTCTCTTGTACGAATAGGCCCGTAGGGATCTCTCGACGAGGCGTCCTCGGAGAGTTCCTTCCTTCTACCTGGCGATTAAATTCTTCTTTCTACCTGACGCCCAACGCAAATTCGTCACTTTATGCGTATCGGTGAAACTGTAACGAAATGTCTTTTCAATCACGTACGTCTCTATGACAAGTACGAAGTCGGTCTTTTCTTAAGCAGGAATTTTAGCAAGGGCGCATTTTGAATGAAAAATCACCGTAGCCGAATTAAAGACGAATTTACGTGCTCACGACAATGTAGCACAGGTAAAAATTCGTGATCGGATCAAAACGGATCAAGCGGTCAGAACGATTTGGATCCTTACGGAAGTTTAAGGATGTGGAAAGCAAAAGGAGGAGACTTAAATTAAAAATAATCAAGAAGATTTATAGGTAAAGCTCACGAGTGAAAAGTCTTCTTTGAATTCCCAGTCGGGCAATTTACGACAGTAGAGAGAGTTTCAGAGAACATCTTAGAAATCAGATGATGGATTATTGTAATACTATATATATAGTCACAGACTAATAAAGAAGATTATTTCGGCAAGCAAAAGGAAAAACATTCGTTAAACAATATACATCGTTTTTCGTTTACACATTCATCGAACACCTGCGACAAAGTTGCGTTAGACTTTTCTAGTGACTACACCGCCGGCGATCGACTAATTACACAGCCCGGCGAGATATTTAATCATCATGACACATGTTTTTTTCTTCTCTGTCTTTTCCTCAGATCGCGCATCAGGGCGGCAGCGATTATTATTTATTACGTCGTAAAGCATATCGTTGAGCAAAGAAACGGAACGACGCGGAACAAAAAGGCACGGGACGGATCGCTCAAGTCATATCGAGCGTGTTGATCATGACGAGGGGTAGGGAAGACGAGGGGGAAGAAGGGTATCTCGCTCGACCCGTCATCGATTGCGTGTATCACGCGAAACCGGCGCTTCCTACGCCCCGGTCGCCGCACATTAACGCGTAATTGTATCTAAAAGTAAATACAGACGTCTTGCGATAAAATCAGTAAACGCCTCGCGCGTTACGCATTAGCGTGTCGGCAGATGCGCGGCGGTTGCGCGATAAAACCGCGACGGGAAGGAGAAAGTGTAGTTAAGGAAAGTGGAAATTAAAACCGTCGCTATTCGCCGCGTGGTTCGCGCGCGCACACGCACACGCGCGAGCACGTGCAATGCAAAAGCCGTCAAAACGCGGCTCACACG